TGTGAAGGCTTCCGGTATTTTCGCCATCGAGGAGACCAAAGAGCATGCCAGGGGCGTCTGGATTGTGGCAAACGATCACAGGGAAGCCTACGAGATTGCGGTAAAGAATGCTGTGTGTTGCAAGCCAATGGCATTAGGCCCTGCCGTCCCCTTCGTCTCACCAAGCGATGTTCAGCGGTACATGGTGAAGGGAGGTGTCTTGCCGTTCAGCAAGGCGAATGTATGGGCAGAAGACTGGAAGTTGTAGAGTTTCATACATCTGTTGCTACTTCATCGTTCTTGTCGCATCGCCGCGTACGACAGCTACACAAGCGCTAGGTGTCGCAATCATTGATCACGGTTTGAGAAGATTGTTCTTGTTGGAAATTGGATTTCCAGGCACTCGTGAAGAAAATTGGCTTGCTAAAGTCGGCTTCTTCCTTGTCTGATGGCTTGGTATGTACGTCGCAGGAGGCGTGAGCGGGGAGTCGACTTAGGTCAGATAGAATGGAAGCCAGTGAAAATACAAGTGTGAGCACATTTTGAGGTGAACCTTCACGGGCCAAAAAGCCCGGATATGTCAAGGAAACAACGCGTTGAAGCACCCGACTCTGAAGATGCCCAGGTATGGCGACCCACGGGCGGCTGGACGCTATTGGGCCGAGGTCCTGGCAGCGCGTCATGCAGGTACCCACAGAGGCGGGGTACGCCTACTCACCCCAAAAGGGTGTCGTATCCCGAAATCCCGAATAGCATACACATCTTCTGGAACCAAGTAGATCATTAATCATTGCTTACCACATAGAGGCTACGATCATACAACGTAAGATCTACTTTGCTCGTTGTTACTTAAACCTCTTTCTGCCCGCACGAATTTGCCATTACAGCAATACATCCACAACGCACTTCATCTACACCACACGGAACAACAACATACTACTATCCTACGCAAAAAATGGCTCCTCCTTCTTTCCGTGATCTTCTCGGCATGCCCGCCTCTACGGCTTCGACGAGCGACTCTGCCCTTCTCATCATTGACGCTCAAAATGAATATGTAAGTAACAACCCATGGCTATCTAGCGGTCTGCATGCTATCCCCCTGAGTCTTGAAAGACAACTGCTGCCAGATTATCGGCAAGGATGATGTCGCATTGAATGCAGCGATTGATTGTTGAGCGTTCAATCTCCTTCTCGCCCACACTCGCTCTCTCCCTGCCAGCGGCATCGCTAACTCTACGGACTAGTCATCCGGCGCTCTTACCGTAACAAACGCCGCAGCAAGCGGAAAGGTCATTGCCGACCTCCTCGACAAGTACCGCAAAGCCAACGGCAAGATCATCCACATCTTGCACCAGACACCCGAAGGCGCACCCGTCTTCACGCCTGGCACTGACCTGGCGGAAGAGTTCAAGGAGGTCAAAGCACAGGTACGCTGGCCACTAGAACGTCATAGAAGGAATCGTCGCTAATTTATGATCAGGACGGAGAAGAGAAGATCTGGAAAAACTACCCCGGATCCTTTGAACAGACATCTCTGCATGAGACATTAGAGAAGATGGGTGTTAAGAAGCTTGTCCTGACTGGTTACATGGCACACGTCTGCGTGTCCACAACTGCACGTGAGGCTTTCCAGAAGGGATACGAAGTCATTCTGGTAGAAGATGCTATCGGCGACCGTGATATACCTGGTGTTAAGGGCGACGAGGTCACCAGGGTGGCGTTGGCAGAGCTGGCAGATGTGTTTGGCACAGTTGTCAAGAGCGCTGATATTAATTAGACGAGCAAGAGCCATAAATTGAGACGATTCATCCTATACAGTGACTGCAATAGAAATGCAATGGCTCATCTCAAGCGCCGACACCCCTCAGTACAGTGACGGTATGCACGTACCTCACCGTCCCACCCTCAACCCTTATCTCGTGACTGTCCGGCCAAGCTCCCAAGCTATCGAACTGGCAACTGACCTGCACACTACCGATACTTTCATCGATAACGTATCGCCTCATGCCATTCGCCTTCTGACTCCCTCCGTGCGGAAGACTCGCTCCACAAGGGTTGGTATACATGCTTCCCTCCACCCTCTCACATTGAGTGCCCCAGGGTATAGTGTCGGCAGCAGTAGCATTCGTCCACATGTCGAGGTAGGCGTCGCCGACAGATTTGAGGAGAGCACGTGAGGGTCGCGAGGCGGTGGGAAGGGTAATCCACGATTCGGCGCGGATGTAGGAAAGGGTCTTCTTCGCGTCGAAGAACAGGTCGCCGGTTGTAGCCGCTACGGAATCGATGGAGCTGATGGACGACGTGTCGTTGTTCAGATGGCGGATCTGGGTGCTAACTACGTAGGGTTTGTTCCCAGAAGCGCTGATCCACATCGTGTAGCTGGCGCATGCTTCGGTGTCGGTGGATGAGCGGTTGAGGTCGATGACGAAGGGCGTTGAGAGGAGACCAGTCGCAATGTTGGAAGCCTTGTTGTTTTGCAGATAGGTGAAGTTCGTGGGCGCGAGGCTGAGACTGCTAGGAGAGCCCGCAACTTGAGCCGCTAGATAGGAGTCTGCGGCTGCAAGAAGACCTTCGCGCGTACATTCGGCCGATGATTGAGTAGCTGAGAGTACTCCGACTGTAGCCGTCAGCCATAAATGAGACGAGAAGTGCATTCTGTCAGATTTGATAAAGGCTACTCGTAAGATATCGAGACCTTGACATGACTAGATAGGAGAGTTATATGTCATTCCAGACATCATCGCATTTGCGAAGACTGCCGAAAATCTCGAGGGAGTAATGCCGTTGTGGCGGATAATTGTTGTTTGTCTAGGATGTCAATCTAAACCAATGCCTCTTAGTGGTACGCTCAAAGCGAGTTAATGTGCTTGTATTGTCTTTTACACCTGCCGTTACGATCTGCCCGGCAGCCTGGCAGTTGCCGTCTTCGAGTATCCGAGCTGTACAGCGTATTGATAGTCTTGTATTAACCCTCGGAAGCAGATACAATGCAAGGCATTTTGCCTTGGTCGTAAGAGGGTTCTGCTTGATCGCTTCCACGTTTCGCAAGATGTGCGGCTGTTTTCAGTCTTCGTTCAGCCTTCGTTCCAAAGGTTATTGAAAGTAGCTCATCTTAGATATTTTTGGGAGAAGCCCCATGGTGTCTGATATGGCGAAAGTGAGCGGTAGTGTCGCGATCTTGCCAGGTTCGTCGTAGTCTCACTCCTGCACAGGATGCTTCAACAAGACAATCATCGGCAGGCGCGGCGGGCTTGAAGTCATGCTCGAAATATTCTGTACAAGCCAATGGCGATGATATTGAATGGCTCAGAGTCGCGTGGGTTTCCGAGGTTTACCGACAAGTCCGTACAATTGATGGTGCAACGGGAGGAGAGGCGCGCAGCCCCGCGCGACATGCAGGTGGACGCGTCGCAATCCGCCAAGCCTCCAGGAACACGCTAACGGCGGCCAGTGAGCATCATCATTCGCAAGTCATGCTGGTATCCTTCTACAATTCAGGTATGCGTTCAATGTCCTTGTCTTTCTAAATCGATACAAGGATGCTAACTTCATAAAGCACATAGAATTAAGATGGCTCGAATGGCCCCACCTACGCAATGCCATCAGCGCGCGTTACCTCTTCCACCGCCCCAGCCAGCGAGAGCCCATATGCCCTTGACCAGCGCATCCTCTCCGTCGTGACCTCGCAGACTCATCCGGTTCTTCTCCAGCTGATGCCTTCGTAACTCGTCGTATACCCCCACCAAAACCTCCTTGAGCTCGTCGCCCGGCTTGCCCTTCCAAGCCGCCCCTCCTCCACCAATCTTTGTACAACAACGCTCAACCACAAGGTTCATGATCTCATGACGCTTGGTGGGATATGGACTCGGTGCAGGGAAGTGAGCGATGCTCTGGCTTATGAACACGGTATAGAGGTGCAGCAAGGGGAAGTAAGGCGACTCGATCTGTTGAGAGGCTTCGATGATGTAGCGCCACGATATGTCTACTTCGCCGATAGGTAGACAGGCATTTGCGCGCCAGACTAATCTGTTTGCGCGTGGGTTCTTGGTCAGCCATTTTGGTAGCACAGCACCTGCGCTGGCCATCAAACGTGCGAGACGAACCAACGGGATCGCAAGACCAGTCGCTACATTGGGGCGACCCAAAGAGTCCCAAGATGCGGCCACGAGATTGTAGCAATCCAAAAGAGAGTCCGGCCGCCGATCGTCGGGCGCATTGGTGCGATGTGCAGTGTTGATAAGGGCGGGGATGATGGCTTGGTCGAGAATGGAGGTTACTGCGAAGGCACCGGTGGGCTCTCGCTGCCAAAGTATCTCCAGGCCAGACCATATCTTCATCATGAATTCATGGAGGCGTTCGGGCGGCTGGTCGCATATTGCTTTCCAGATTGAGGCAACATCGAAGGTTGCGCGTGGGTTTGGTTTGGGGACCACGACGTAACGGCAAGTTGGACAAGCATTTGAGTTTCCCCTACCCTCCTTCAGCCACTTCCTGATGCACTCATGACCGAAGATATGCTTGCAAGGCAGCGCCGCAGGCTGATGGGTCGCGCTGAAGTGCTCGGTGCAGATGTTGCAAGTGTCTGCGGGATGCAGTTGCGTGTTGAGGAAGTTGTCCATGCCTGCTTGAACGAGGGCTGCAAGTTGGTAGAGACTGAGTCGAGCAGCTGGCAACTCAGAGCTTGCAGCCGATAGACATGTTCGTGGAAATGCATCAGGTGGGTGAATCTGTTTGCAGTGAACGAGCGATTGTGAAGGAACAAAGGCATGTAAGTTTGCGACTTCACGCCTCTGTCGTGTGAATTTGAGATTGAAAACAAGTAGCTAACTCATAGGAAGACACTGGAAACAGCTTCCGACTTCAGAAGAGAACTTTGTCGTGAAGGGAAATCTGGTCGCATGCACTGCGAACCTGGTCGGCCATTCTACTCTCGGTGGCAGGATTAAACGTGAAGAGCCATGTGGGTTTCTTCCACAAACGCCGCAATGTCTCTGGGGCCTCTGAGGAGAATGTGGCGTCAGTCACGGCTTCCATCGCCATGCAGGGTGCTTCCACTCAAGGTTCGCGATCTCGTCATCTGATAATGATGCGAGCTCTGTATGAGCTTCTAACTGCCTCCTGTCCCTCTTCCTGTTGTCGCGGGTCATCCAGAGCTTAGTGAAAATCGCCACGACGGTCCATGTCACTGCGCAACCCAAGTTGATCCCATTTCCAATGGCATAACGGGGAGAGTCGCCAGGTAGATAAGTCCAACTGGCGATCAGGGCGCCAACGTATCCAAAGAAGACGTTGGTTCCAATGGCGATGCTGCGTGCAGAGTCGGAAAGCACGTTTGCGCTGACTTGTGCGTTCGTCATGGCAGCCAACGAGAAGCATGTCGATGCGCAAAGGAAGATAGCCGCATATCGAACACTTGCGTTCATCGTCGCAAGGAACATCGCATACCCGGCAATTACAAAAGGGCCCGTGAATGCAATGAGCGTCTGTCGGGAGTTCATTTGCCAGCTTACTGTCGTGATCAGAATAGTGCAGACCACACCCAGAACGTACGGCGGCACTGTTAAGAGCTGCTGTTGGACGACGGTGCGAGCTGGGTAAATGGTACGAACGATCGTCGGCAAGAAGAACGAAATGGCTATGACAGTTATGCTGTCAAGCAGGAAGATGAACGAGATCGCAAGCGTGATTGGGTTGGAGAAGCCGCGTCGAAGCTTCAGGGTATCGATCTTGTCGAGCAGTTCGGTCTGGTTGAGACGCTCGGATTTTATCCTGCCAACTATCATCCGTATCTCATCTTCGGTCATCCAGCGTGCAGTGTCCGGGCGGTCAGTCAGTGTGAAAAAGGCCACGACAGAAAGGCACATGGTGACGATGCCTTCGATCGCAAAGATCCTTTCAACTGTTATTCAGAGACTTGCAGCATACAGGCTGTTTGCTTACATTTGCCAACCATCGAAGAAACCGACGGAGCTCAAGTTCAGGATAGCCGAAGCGATCATGCCACCGAAAGCTCCCGCGAGAGGGGCCATGGACAACCACAGCCCAAGACGAAAGGTCAATTCCGACCTTTTGTACCATCGTGAGAGGTAGTAAACGCATCCAGGCATTACGCCAGCCTCGAAGATCCCAAGCAGGAATCGAACAGCACACGCTTGAGCGCGGGTTCGTACGAAGGCTGTCGCGATAGACATGGCACCAAAGCCAAACGAAGTCATCGGCAGAAACCATCCAGGGCCTACTGCTATATCAGAATTGGACAAAGCGCTCTAGTCATCGTGCGCACCGATCAGTTTGCAGCAGAGCGTTGCTGGCATCTCGAAGACTATGTATGACACGTAAAACGCCGATAATACGACGTTGTAGTCATATCCCTCAAGCTTGAGATCTTCCTCCATGCCAGCTATACGGGCGTTGCCTGTTGCGATCAGTCCGTGGGCATAAACAAGCCGTGCGCAAAATGGCCTTACCGATGTTCGTTCGATCGATGAAACACAAGAGATACAGTACAATGACGGTAGGCAGGACGCACAGGTCGACTTTCATCAGTAGCTTCCTTTCCCGACTGCTTGTCACACTGATCGCATTCGACTCATCGTGGCCCGCGTCGACCTCAAAGGTCATCTCACCGGCGTGCTCCCGATCCATGATTGCAGATTTGAGAGTAAGTTTCAACGCGAAAAGCGATCGAGAAACGGCGATGACACGCTTACAAAGGTGGGGTACTAGCTTCCGGATGAATCGATCCTGGCTTGCATGGTATCCATGTCTGACAGCGGGTGGCAGCAACTCCAGCTGCAGTCTGCGGTCGTACGAACCAGATGCTAGCCGCAATCGGACTAGTGTTTGAACAACGAGACATCTACGACTGCGCAGCAAACGTCCATGTCTTTGTCACCAACATTTGCCCACACTACAGCACAAAATTTGATCCAGAATGTCAAGCCTACAACAATTCACTCCCACAATCAATACAGGAAGCTTCGCCACAGGCTCTAACTCAAGACGCGCAACTATCGCAATCCAGCCTGGTCGATGGATGTTCACTCGGCAGCGACCCAAATCGTAAAACCCCAATCGCTTTCACACACTGTTCGTGGAAACTCAAAGAAGCCTTCGCGCACCCGTCTAACTGAGCGGGTGTCAGTTCATTTCCTTGACAATTTACTCCAGCCATTAAACCAACTACCCGGCGTCCGAGCTCAACCTCGACCTTAGTTGGACCGACCGAAATCTCACTCCGCTTACGTCATTTCTAGAGTTCTCGGCTGGGCCGCGACCCCGTTCTCAAAATGCCACGCAGGGTGAAAAAGTCTCATGTCTTCGCAACAAAGACTCGGCCGAAGCGGTCAAACACTGCTCTGAAGCAGAAGCGACACTTGCCATCCAATACACCGCCTACCCTCGAACCCTCCTTCGATACAGAAGAACCAAAAGAATCGTCTGAGAGCGGAAGATCGTCGACAGCATGCTCTGAACTCTCAAGTCGTGATGGCCTGTTCCCCGAATCGTCTACGATGGCCACGACCCCTTCGATGAGTGTAGAACTACCGAAAGTCTCTGCAGTATCGAGCTCTCGATGCATTGTTTCCAAAAGCGCTCCTTGCAGTACCGCCTGCCCTTCATCCTCTGGTTGCGCGAGCGATATACCCGCAGTTTCGGAACATGAGTCGCGTCCACATGAGCCCGAAGCTGCTACCTCAGAGATCGAAAACGGTACGGAACACGCCGCAGAGAATTCAGACAAGCGAAAGCTCTCGAAACCCCCAATAGACCGCCTAGGCGACAACAAGCATACCACATTGGGGCCGATGAACCCGTCTTCCATGCGCCGCACGAGAAGCACTTTCAAGTCGCTAGGCCCGAGCATAATATTCAACTCGCTCTTCGGTGGTGGAGACGATCTTTTGTCGACTCCCGTCCCATCCTCCCGCCAGCCTCCTGCTGCTAAACCTGAAAAATCTGAAGTTGAACAGGTTCCGGCATACGCGACAACTACACACGCTGCGTGGTTTAGTAGCCCGGCCAACAAAATTGTACGTGGTGTACCGATGGGTATCTCGCGAAGCGTCGCCGAATTGCAGCGTATTGCGCGGCCCACGACTCCTGTGCTGGATCTCGAGACGTCGGTCTCCGCTCTTCCAGCGCATCAGTAATATTCGACTCGCAGCGGCGCACCAACCTTGGTCGCATCTCCTGCAATGATATTTTCTGCGTTTGATTTTCGGGCTTGGTACGATGAAGCATTACGAGTGCCGTGAGTGGCTCGCTGTTAAGGGTCTTCGCCAGAACATGAGAACCATGGTTGTGCATTAGAGTCAACACATGAGATATTTTTCAATAAAAGACCACGTCTCCGGTCATTGCTTCCTTTCAATAACCTCATTCCCGAATACCAAGCCTACTCTCAAACGAAATCCCAAAAGTTACGTCTAAATCACAAGCGCATCCAAACCACATCCGCGCCCACACCCACATACCGTCCACCATGTCAGGCATCTTCAGCAAGCTCATGGCCTACTTCTCCCCAGCACCAGAGAAGCCAACATTCCGCATCACCGCACTCGTCGCGCCCGCAACGTCACAACAATACTTCTCCGACTCCAGCTTCTCACACGCCGATCTGATTGGCATCAACGAAACCATCACGTTCGATGTCGACTGCGATGCAATCCCCAAAAGCATCCGCTGCAGCTGCCTAGCCTCGGGACGCGAATGCAAAGCAGAGTACCTGAAGGAGCACTACGTTATTGAGTGGGCAGCGGGCAGCATCATGGAGAACGAAGAGGTGGAAATTGGAGGAGAAACTGTACGCAGGGAGAAGAAGGGGCGGCCTAAGATTTGGGAGGGTTGGTGCAAGGATGGTGGCATGGTTTATTTGAGTCCTACGGAAAGGCTGAGCTGTATTGAGGGCTATGATGAGCATGTGAGGGAAGAAAGGGAGAGTGATCGGTTGAAGAAGGCGAACTCGTTTTAGTTGGGGTAGGCTTGTCGGTCGTTCATGCCAGCACTCTTCTACGACTCAGTATCGCCAATGGTTGCACCTCATACAAGAAACGGAATGGACAGCTTTACAGACTACGTGAGGATGAAAACGTGCAAGACGGATGGCCTAACCTCGATGTAGGCTTCAGGGTGTTCCGCTTTTCCTAGGTTGACGCGGTCGTGAATTCGGAAGGAGTACATTCACGGCAGTGTTAGCGCATGCCCAAACACGCAACCAAGCATTTGCCATTGTCTCACACAACGCACTCGTTTGTCGCCCATAGCCCTCTTCACACCGTGCGTCACATGCGAACACTGACACCATCAACTCTTTGTTCCCTAACCGTACACATTAACACAGCCGCTTCTTCCTTATCATCTTCGTACCCGGTCTGCTGATACTGCGCCACCTTGTCTCGCGCAAATCTTCCAGGACATTTTGACTGTTAACATACTCTTGTAGTCAGGTAACCACGCCCGAAGTCGGAAATGTCGGCTTACTTTGATCCTCTAGGCGAGACGGAGCCGAACACCACAAAATACACGTTGACAGTCCTGATTCCACCCAGACCACCGCCGCGCTGGTTGCCCAGCATATTCAGCAACAAACCATCTGCAAACACAGATCTTGTGGCTGCCGGGCACAAAATACCTGCATCGAATACCAATCCCAACTTTGATCTTTTCGAACTCAAAGACATCGATGTTCTAGACACCAAGACAGTCATTATACGAAGCGCATGGTTTCCATGCGATATGAGGTGTGCGCATGTTGAAAAAAAGTATGAATGTAAAGAAGGTTGCTACTTTCTCGAGAAGGGTGGGGACGTGGCAAGGTGGCGATGCAAAAGGGAAGACTGTGAGGGACATGTGTACTGTGGGAAAGTCATGACGGATGATGAAGGAAGGAGCTGCTTTGGTAAGAAAGGAGAGAGAATGGTATGCTTGGAGAAGAGACCAGAGACAAATTCTTAGAGGACTTTGGCATGATAACAATACGACAAGTGAATAGACGAATCAGGATGATATTATAAGCGTAGGTATTGAGTGACGATGCGTAGATGCATAAAGGGTATTCGCTAAGCCAGAACTCGTTCGAAATGCGCAGGTGAAAGCGACTATCTCGTTACTAAACTTTTACAAAAAGAAAGCGGCAACTGCGGCACCAAGACCAGCCAGAGCTGGGACTTGGACTATGTGGGCAGCACCAGTGGCTACTTCTTCAGGACCGCTGGAGGTGGCAGAAGCTCCAGAGCTAGCAGCAGATTCCGAGCCAGTGCTTGCCGCTGCGTCGGAGTCGGAGCCGGTAGCAGTGGAAGATCCAGAAGCTGCGGATGTGACAGTAGAACGGGACGCTGTTACGGAAGCGCTGCCGGCCGATACTGATGCGGCCGCTGTGGCACTGGGAAGGGAGTCACCGCCCTCGGTGATGACGACGGCGAACAGGTCGAAGTAGCCTTCGGGGAACACTGTACTGAAAGAGAGAGCGGCATCCACACCGTCCGGGCAGAGGGAGGAAGCGTATTCTGGGTCAGCGCATAGAGAGCTCATTTCGGATTCGAGGCCAATGGTAGTTTGGGTGCAGGTTGCCTCCGCTTCGTCGGTGTTCTGGCGCGAGCATGCGCCGGAGACGGTCACCGTCACGCCGTAGTGGTCATTGGAGGCGTCATATTCATAGTAGGTGTTGCCTCCGACAGTGATGGTCGAAGGGACATCGGCCTAGTCGCAACAGATCAGTGAATGTTATCGATGATTTCAACTCGTTGGTACGCACCAATGAGTCGTCGAGGGTAATACCCTGCACAGCCACAGACATGATAGTGCGGTCGTTGTCAACGCTGACCACAGAACCCTCGTACGAAATGCCCATATCGCCTAGACCGGGCATCCAGACCTGAGCGGTCGTTTGAGCCGCAGCGTAAGAGGCGAAAAGCGCCACGGAGAGGATCTTAGACATCTTGCGGTGTTGATTGAGACGAGCAATGTGGGGTATAGTAACAAGTATTAGATTAGAGTCTTGAAAAAGATTGGCAACGAACGACAGGCAGTAACGAGTGATGCTTGGCGATGAAGAAAAGGTTCGTCGAGTATGGGATATCTAGTCTACTTATTGGGGAGATTCGGAGGCTGATCGCTTAACTGACAGCGCATGATGCGGCACGCCTAACCGGGCGGCGCAGGCCCCCTAAAGACCACCAAGCCGCCTTTCTAGGCACACCGGCATCTGTTATGGTCTAGCTGCGTCTATTCGTGCGACTGTTGCCTGGAAGAAATTGCGCGCAAATCCTCCGCAATATTCGTCGAGTCAAGCCGAGTATGCTGTGGAGTGACGTCAATGTTGCTTGGTGATGCGCACGCGAAGCCATAAGTTCGAGCCGTCAAATTCTCGTACTCAGTCAGCAAGCTGGTCCACTGTTCAATGCTTGCCATGTACAAAGATACTTCGTCTTCACGCGTGTGACCTCGATGCAATGGTGATGATTCGTGCATGAGCTAGGCTTGACAGACGGGAGAGTTTGTGGCTTGCAGCATGGCCCATGCATGTTTCGGTGCGGCGCTCTCTGAGCCAGTCCGTTGGGTAGTGACTTTACCGAGACCGCAAGCGAGGGCAGATATGCCAACCCTATGCAGGCTCTAGTTGTTCGGGAAGGCCGCAATTTCGAAAATGCGCGATTTGGGAGAGATTTTGCGAGGTGGAGTTCTGGGATGAAGTAGGAGAGGCGAATGCGTCAAGCGCTGCTGACATAACACAGGCTTAGGATCGTCAGAATGGTGGGCAAGCGTCTGCACGAGCTTTCTAGTCGCGTGTATCGTCACACAACACATCCAACCTCTCGTACGATAACGCGCATTGTGGAACTAAGTGTGCATTACAAACTGTGTAAATTACGGGAAGAATCAAGGGTATCGCGCTCGCAAAAGTAATACAACGCAGCACAAACGCCAGGGCTGCCACACAACCGTCTCAGCCATACCCGCCGGGTGAGGCAGGCTCTTCCAGCCCACCGAAACACCGAGTCACTACCGCCCTGACACCATATACCACTGTCTTCACATGCCCTTCGATATCAATACTCGGTCGACGCGCATAGGTATTGGGCTCGAGGTCGTTTGGGAGACCGTAGTGTGGCATCGGCCTCATCCTCCATCAGTCGCGGATCGTAGTATTCTCGGACATCTCAGGCGTCGTTCTGGTAGTATTGAGCTCCACGACGCATACCACTCGAAAAGTTGTAATCATCGTCGTCGTCATCCCTTGCGCGAAGGAGATCCTTGGACCAGCCCTGGAAGGGCTTCTTGAGCATCGACTTCAGAGACGAAGAAGTCGCAAGTGCATGATGCATGCTCGTTGAGGATGAGCATTCAACTGGCGCCGTCACGGAAGAGTTGCGGCTCGATGACTTTGATGTTTGCGCCACCATGTTGAGGGTATTGCGATTGAGTGTGAGATTGGATGTTCGAAGGAATTGGAGACTTGTAGGTTCGGAACGAGAGAGAGAATGATTGCTAACGTTCGATTCCAAGGTTGCTTTGACAGATACCCTCCCTCGAGCTGTCGGTCTGTCGCCTCACTATATACTCCTCCTATCGCAAAGTCGAAACGCATCGCTCCCAACAATTGTTCCGCCGAGCCATCGCCGAAAAACCTCATGCCGAAAGATGCATACCTTGATAAGGAGGACCCACTGCACTCTTGCACTTTCAAGACTGTAATTACGATCATTGGTCAAGAAGCATGTTTTCATGATTTAGCCTGAGTAAAGCATTGCATATGTGGCGAATCGGGTACAACTCGGACTTTCGGAGGCGGTCGGCGAGGCTGAAGTCGGGACACTTCGGAATGTACGAGACATGAGAATCCGCCAAGCACACCGGACGATCACAAGCTTGTCAAGACAACATGACCAAGTGGGAATGGCATGATATTTTCTAGTCTTGTAAGTTTTGCCTTCTTGTACCAGAATCCAAGACAGGACTGCGACAAAGACCTATGGTCAGAAAACTGTCTGGCGACGACCCGCGACCACTTGAACAGGCACGTTCAGCGCAGGGTCTCAATAGCTGCCAGCGCTGCTGATATTGACAAAGCCATTAGATAGTGGACTTTAATTTGCTGCGCATGCGCGGTGTTGTCCGCAATAACGCTCCGCATCGCAAACCGGTCATTCGGTCTCATCCCTTCCTGCGCTGAATCTATTCAGAGCTGTCCTGGCTTCGTTTATTTGAATCATTTCTGCCTCGTTTTGTTCTCTAAGAATTGCCAACATCTCAAACAGTTCGTTGATTTGTCTAGCGAGTGATTCTGATTCTTCCAATAACAACTCCCTCCATGGACCGGGACTAGAAACGATGAGCGTGGTGCGACACATCGGGCAGGTTGCATTTGCGTTTCTGCGCAGCTTTGCGTGCATCCAGGCGTATAAGCAGAGCTTGTGGAAAATGTGAGGCAAGGGACAGGTCTTCGTCTGGACTACACCAGTGCGCGTGATGGAGGATGCGTGCTCAATGGATTCCGATGGATCAGCCGTATGATCAGCCCTGCAAATATCGCATACATCGTCATGCTCAACGTAGTGGTCATCCTGGAGGTTGTCTACACTCTCATCGAAAAAAGCGCTAAGGCGCGCATCGATGGCAATGTCGTTGGACATACTGCTCAGCCTCAAGGTTGAGGTGAGCGAAGGGGGTGGTGTATGAGGAATTTGAGTTGAGGGTAAAGCTTTAGTGATCGTGGCTAGTGGTTGAGTAGAAAGAAGGTCCATAAACAGGTGCCAGGTTTGGGTTAGCAGATCCATCGTGAGAAGCACGGCTACGACGGTTTCCTTCTTCCCCCAATTCACTTGCGCCGGACCGTCCAAGCATGAGTCACACACAAGAAAGGCCATGAGTACCAAGTTTCTAATCGCAGCAACTCAAGAAACCAAATAGAAGAATCTGGTTGATCACAAGAGCAAGGTCACATATAATAGATGTACAGTTTAGGCGCTGGCC